CCCGCAAAAAACCCGAAATCTATTCTTGATGAAAAACCGCCTTGCGTCAATAAGCGATTCACCTGAAAAACAGTAAAAGACAGACAGTATTCGTAAACCGCCTCAACCCATCTCAATTTACTTCCATACCATGACAGAGCATCAAAGCAGTGACTCCTCCTGAACTCGTCCCTGCTATCCAGTCGATTCGAGGTAGGAAATTGCCGTTCAATTCATCTTCCAAATAGAGTAGTATCTGGAACTCCCATATTTGAAGAAAAAAAAACTTCTTCTGATTCATCAGGAGGTAGACGAGCAATGATGAGGTTTGTTTACTCGAGCGATTCTGGGGATGCCAATACACCATGGGGGTGGGGAGGGGATTGGAGAAAATCTGTCACAGCAGTTTATATTTTCTATTCGTCATTTTACATAGTTATCATAGTTTGAGAAGACACCGAACAGTGATATGCCATTGACGAGAAACTTGAACATCCGTTGGCCACCGCAAATCGTTGTACTAGCCACACACGCATTCAAAATGTCGAATAGAGGTACATTCCGGTAAGGAAACTGGTCAACGCCTAAGGCTTCATGCTCAACACTTTTCTACTTCGACATAACTTCTTTTTATGGGTATGTTACTGCTGCAAGAATACGGTCTTTTAAAATTTACCTGGGTCAGCACCAAAGATTTCACACCTCCTCCATCTAAAGCCAACAACACTTTTCCATTTGGTTTCCATTCCGTTGTGTTAGCAATCAGTTCATCATTCCATCGAGTATATTCAACTGCAATAGGAATAATCATGATCTGTTCTTCATCAGACACTCAGAAAAGGCTCGTCTGCGATTCTGCGAAGCATACAACGGAGAGCGGACCTTTTTCACATTAGGATTTATTGGCACCGAACATTCGCAAAACATTCTAAATCACACCCTTCAGGGGTGGGGAAGTAATTTGATATTAGGAGCGAACAGGCCTGCGCAGAAAGTTTAGTAGTAGACGCAAAGTATAAAGCATCTGCAGATACCGTAAGTGGTAAAAAGTGGTAGAGAGTGGTAAACTAGGAAGCACAACTGCTGTGCTAGTCCCACATTAACAATGGTTGCAGATTGTCTGCGGTGACTTTTCTTCATACGGTGGAGCTCTGTCTGACCAATGTTTTAAGAAGAGTGGTTACGGGGAGGCTTGGGGAAGCATGGGGTCTTTGGGCTAGCTCCCATCCGCATCGTACGCTTAGCCGCTTGAGTACATTTTGCAGACAATCTCTAGAAAGGTGCTATCACGGTTCGATAACCCCGGAGTGGCTGTGGCAGCGGCTTTGCTATACTCGAACACGGTGAAGCAAGATCAAGCAGTGTTCGAAAGTAATCCCGTTATGGAGAGCCCGATGATGTCGTTCATATCAATGAGGTGACACATTCATTACGGACTCTTGAGAATTCACTATTTTTTCACAAGTTTTTTTAGGAAGTAACTGCAAGAAAAGCGGGGCTAAACCAGACTGGTTTGCTTGCTGATTTGTTCTCCGATACTGGTCACCCAGCTAATCCACTAGTGACTTCGACGATTTTCATCCGCACTCTCCTATTATAAAGTGTGTCTTCAACTGTCTCAAGTATGTCCAGTTCTTCTTCAATTCTCCCAGTAATGTCTATCTTACTACTAACTACTCTTCGTCCGCCGCGCTAATTGCCAGAGACAACGTGACAATAAGGCCAGAAAGGGGTGGTTGCTACGATGAATCCGAAAAATTTCTTTCCTTCCTATTCCGTTCTTCTCATGACACTCAATGATTTCACTGCGTTTTTTACCTTTTCTATCGAACCTGCTTACATTCTTCGAATCAACAGCGATAAGCATAAAAAAATAAAAAAAGCTCTAATGAATTCCTAAACCATGCCTTCTCTTCTTTTCTCGCCTTCTCTCAAGTATCTTAGGTCTTGAACAATCCTGCAAATCTCAGAATTCTTGCAGTCTCTCAAAAGATTTTTTGGTGAATTCTCCTAAATGTTCCACGGGTAAAAAACGTACTTGTCGTTGGTCGCCACTTCCTCAGCTATCAGTCCTGCATCATTTTCGATTTCCCATAAACGAATCGGTGATGCTAACACTATTAGCGTTCGGCACGTAGACTGGTGGCCATTCTAAATATATTAGATTTGAGGAGTCGTTAAACCCAATCGCGGGAAAACGAAGGAAACTAGGTATCAAAACACGACTGAATCAGCGCATTTCGACCGGTTCCAGGAATTTCACTATCTTGTACTATCAAACAAGGTGATGGATCTATCGGTGAATCTTCAAGAACGGCTTGCCGTTCTGAACCCAGCGGACTGGCACGATCTCCTGAGGCCTCCCGCTCCAGATCCGTTTGGCACTGGAGATAGCTGTTGTTTGTTTAAAACTCCAACGAAAATAGTGTAGTAAGGGATAAAGAGGGATAGAAGTACTTTGAGATATAAAGAGTATGTACGGTACCCGGATAACCAAGTACGGGTTCGAGCCCGTCCGAGACCGAAGTTCCTCTATAACTCGTCGGCTCTTTAAGACTTCCAGATCGCCTACCACAGAATATTTATAAGCCACATTCTAGCTGATGCCAGGGTGTAATTAAATCTGCTTGCAAATTATCACAAATGAGTTGATCTGATGACAGAAATGAAAATTCAGGCCGGCACTCGGCTCTTTCAGCAACCTCCTGGCGCTGTAAGATCTGAGTGCCGGACTGAATTTTCGCTTCCGTTTGATGAATTTTCGTTTTTGATGAATGGACCCATTGGCAGTAATGTCAATAGTATCCACAAGTCGCAATTCATTTCTGCGGATGCTCCATGAGATTGTCCATTGTAAGGCCCCACGTCTCGAATATAATTGTCGTAAAACTCATAATTTTTGGGTGTCGTAGAAAAGAATTACAGAAGTAAAGGATTCTTCTCGAAAATCACCCATAGGCTTGCATGATGAAGTGGGAACTTGGTTAATCTACCTTCGCGGCCAAGTGAAGTGCTGTATTCCCGTCACCGTCCGCAAATGATAGATCGAGCGCCTCCAGAAAAAGTTTTATTATGGCATCGTCATCTGCAGATCTTGCTGCATTCATCAGCGCAGTGACCTTGCGGGCAGTTAATGATTCCCGGCTGTCCTGAAAATTCACAATTTATGTCAAGGCTTAATTAAATTACGATAGTAAAAAACCTCCTTTCGATCCTCTTGAAACTGATACAATAATATCGATAAGGAGTGGTCGGGGCAACAAGCTCTACGACCAGCAACAAGCCCTACGACCATAAGCATGAAGAGGATATGGTCCAGCGCAGCTGACTCTCGCCGCCTTACGGTTAGTCAGTGTTACTAGACCATTTAGAAGGTACCAAGAAGTTTAACAATAGCCGGACAGTCCCTCATAGGAAGAACCTAACAGAAGAACATATCAAAAAACAGTCACAAGGTCTAGGTAACTACGCGGGATCAGAGATACCTACTTTGCATTACCAGAATAAACCAGATATTTTCGAAGAATATTTCTAACGATCAACTACAGCAGACTCGCCTCATCACCATCGACGTTGATCTTCTTCTTTCTAACGACTTTGCTAGGACTAGACCTTGACTTGCGTACATCCTCGCTTCGGGATCTCCTGGCCATAAGCCGGTATGGGCGTAGAAGAACTCACAATTGAGATATACTCGGAATCAACTTTGCTTATATGCACTATTTACTGTGATCTGATAAGCGTATACGATGCTATCCAGCTGATATACTTACCTGATAATTCTCGCTGCATGAGGCATGGTAATGAAAATAGAACGGGACAGAGTCACCAGCTTGATTGCTGAAAGCCAGGGTACCAACCGACTTGATAATATGCAACGTGCAGTCACAAAACCAAGTCCATCCAGAGCATAATGATCGACTAACTGAGTTCATTGAACACTAAGTACAAAAGTTCGAGTAGCTCAAAGCCTTCTAGAGCTCATGAACGGAAACTTCCTTTTTGTGACTGCTTACCGATAAAGCGTATGCGCATGGGGGGACGGTACATTCGTGCGATTCGGACTGCGCGCGGCAAATTGCGCGGCGAAA